TGACAAATTGGTTACCAGTTAACCTAACATGCATGTGTTGGGTATGTTGGAGGAAACTGGGATGAAAACTGAGTGCACAGGAAGAGCATGCAAACTCCACACAGAAGGTCCTCAGGCTAGAAGGTAAACCTGGGATCTTCTCATTGGAAGGCAACAGCTCCAAGAACAGCACCACCGTACTTCTTGTTGTTCAGTCAGCTAATAAATTCTGTCACATCCCCAGACTGGGTTCAGCTGCATTTTCTGATTTGCATTTTCACTTTTACAGTACTTTAAGAATAAACATCTTGAGTTTGAAACAGGAGCACAAATTCAAGAGACAAACTGTTGTAAACAGCAAAGACCACCTTCGCTGTCCCAGGATTACACACGACCTCTGTGGTCCTCTATCCCCTGGCTGTCTCACCTAACAATGCGAGCCTATTAGACCTGAATCCTGCGTTGCTGTTAAAGAAGGGTCTTGTCCTTTCAGTACACTCATGTCCCTGCTCTCTGTTTGTCGTGGCATAGGTGGTAGAAGAACACAAGTTCATTGTTCCCTCGCAGATGGAAGTTGGAGTTACCAGGGTAACGGTGCTAATCCTCCTTTTATTTTTACCATTTTTTTATATTAACAGTCCACTGAGTGCTACCTTTTAAGTCACAGGCAAGAACGCTCACTCACTTTTAATTAGCTATGATTCTGTTTGCCAGGAGACGGTATGATGAGCTAATCGAAATTTACGAAATAATGACGCACTGCGAGCAGCTCCTTCTTCCTCCCGAAGCCCGCTCCAAGAATAACAATAATGAGGCCATTATAGAGGACTGCACTTTAAAACGCTGCTCTGCCACCAAAACAGAGGACATAATTGTTCTGGTGTTTTCCATACAATCAACAACCCATTGTGGATGACTTGAGAACTAAGAGAGCAAAGAATGGGTGTCATAATGATTGGTCTGTGCTCCCTTCGAGTTCTTGTACAAAGTGTTCCCTGAGCGAGGAGTTTGATTGACTGCTGATTTGCTTGTGGATGAAGACAACTGTCTGGCTTTGTAGAAAAATGTCCTTTCTGCTTTTTGTGTGTGTGTGTTGCCATTCAAATAGCTCCCCAGGCCACATTAGAGAAGACCCATTCATATGGTGAACAGCTGAGAGCTACACAGGCTCACCGAGGGAAGTGGGGGTAAAATAGAGAATACACCTCTGTTTATTTCAATAACTCAAATGTGTGATCTTGAGTGAAAAGTTTTAGTTAAAGTAAAACGGCGTTGCTTTCAACAAAACTAAGCTCGAAACAGAACATTGGTTAAACTACCAGCTTTGTCATGGTACAGCAGATTTTTGTAAAGAAATGAACTAATCCTCTATTCGCCCCAAAACGTACAATCTGCTGTTTGCTAATGTAACAAAACAAAAATCATGTTGAAGGTTGTCGGCTCAAATCCCAGTCAAGGGGGTTTTTGGATGGAGAGAGAGAGATGGGGGAGAGAGAGAGAGATGGGGAGAGAGAGGGAGAGAGAGAGGGAGAGAGATAGGTTGTCTGTCTCTATGTGTCCCTGTGATGGACTGGAGACCTGTCCAGGGTGTCCCCTTCCCCTCCCATGGTGATGACTGGACATGGGTACCAGTGACCCCCGTGACCCGAAAATGAAGACGTGCTTAAAGATAATGGATGGACGAATGGATGGACGGATGGATGGATGGATGGATGGATGGATGGATGGATGGATGGATGGATGGAGAGTGTAAGAACTGCCTTAAATTAAAAATAAAAATAAAACATAATACAAAAAGTAATTAAACTGGCCTCACCATTAAAGGGAAAAATAAGACGATGACCATCAACATCAGTTTTAGTCACTAAACCAAATGTCCTCGTCTTCTCTTGTTCATATTGAAGCCAGCAGGATCCGGTTTATGGAAGCTGCCATGTTGTATTTACGGACCCGGAGTCTGTGCACAGGGGATGCGTGACTTTAAGTCTTGCCTACCCCCCTGGATGCTGTACGAGGTCCTGTGGTGTTAATGCAAACATCTGAATCCATCCTTCAAGCCATCTGACTTAAAGTTAAGTTGACATACATGAATTCAGTTAGATATGTAATTTTACTTGAGTAGAACTTTTGTTTTTACCTTGTATTTCCCTATAACTTCACAAAATCCTCCGTAGAATATACGGACACAACAAATGGGGAAAACGAACATTTTACAGTGTATTCCATGCACCTACATAGTTATTGCATCGCATGTCAAGGATGTCACTTAAGCTTTATCAACCGTGTCATGATGCCCCAGTAAAGAACTGCACTCCAAATCTTACTCAAATACAAATGCAGTTCATCCGTTTGGAAATAAAGATAAATAGAGCACAGGTACTGGTCAACAGAGGTAAACAATGAAATAATGTGTCGAGAGGTTTCCTATGTAGACGTGCAGGTTGAGAGCTTTGTGGGGATGTGCAAACCGCTATCAGCCGTGCTCCCTCGTAAAGGAGAGGAGGAAAAGAGGATTTGAGGGCAGGATGCTAAATGGGCCTGTTAGCCCAGTCAGCCTTCAGTGGGTTTCATTTATCTTCATCTTGTTAGATGAAATTAATTAACAATCTCAGAGTTGCACACTTTCTCCTTTCATTACATCAAATAATGGTGGAAATGTATAGGGGGAGGTCCTGCCCACAGGGAGAGCTCTCTCACTTCTTATCTCTCTGCCTCTCTGTTCACATGTCTGATCAGTTCCTTCCCCTTTCTCTCTCACGCTCGCTCTCATTTTTCCACTCGCTGCGACAACACAAACAAAAAGCTGTTAAATGTGTTATAAAAAATGGATCAAAAGTGAAAACGCATCATATCAACAAAGAGAAGCGAACAAACCGGATATCCACTCATACAAAAAAACCTTCTGCTTGAGTTTTAGACATACTCAAAAATGTCAAAGCAACGTTTAAACCAGAAACAAAGAAAAAGTGTAAATGATTCACACTTGAACTTGATTTGTGATAAAAAGAAAAAAAAGTTTGCTAAAAGTGAAAAGTTTATAAAATTATCGCCTTTAAATCTGCTCCGACTCAAAACCAAACTTGTGACTCAACACACGAATGAAAGCCCATCTGTGTTGAGGTGGGGCTTCAAAAGGCAACAGGTGGATGTCTGAGCACATCTGCATGTATGAAAACGCTCAGAGTCCACGTCCCCCACCCACTCACCCCCCCTGCACACACACACACACAGCCCCCTCCAAAACACAAGTCTTATCAAAGTAAAAGGGCTAACCCTGAAGCAAAGCCTGCCTTTAATCTCGGCCCGATTGTCTAGGCCTCAGTCAGCGTGCACGTCTTTCTGCTGCTGCCTTTAATTAAAAGTGACATTGACAAAAGGCTGTCCATTAGTAGAGCAATAACGTGTCTGGTCAGAATAATCAGCGCTGTCTCTCATTTATGAGGAAGAAAAGGACACAGTTGAGAAACATTACGATCAAGGGTCATACTTTCTCTGGTTTCTTGTTCAAGGGTTTGAACTGCATCTTAAAATGTTACTTTGTGAGACACGTGTGGCGTGTGTCCCTTCGCTGTTCGACCATATGTTCCACCAGTCACATTCTGTACAGTTTGTCAACTGCCAAACTGGTTTCAACAGGAGGTGAGAATAAATACGGCCATCCACTTTGTAGTGTCACTCAGAAAAAAAAGGCATAAATGAGCAATGGCAGTGCATTTTCAAATCATTTAACCTCAGTCTCTCCTGTCAGACACTTGTAAAGATACAACTCCACATGGTGCCCTAAAGCAGGCAATGTGCATGTGTGCATTTATATTGCATCTCCTTATTGCAGCAGAAGTAAATATATCAAGCGTTTGTGAATACGCACTAAATATATTTAAATTATTTGGAAGTGATAAATGGCTCTCAGAGCTGTGCGGTAGAATTAGAACAAAAGAAAACTGTTTCCAGCTCACAGTTCGATTTGTCTGTATAAAAACTGTCCTTGTGAATAGAACTCAAACACGATGATTTAGCAGGATTTAATTTATATTTTTGTCAAAGCACAGAACTAAACTTGCTCCCCTCCCCGTTAATAAATGTGGGATTTTATCTGTTTGAATTCAAAAGAAAATAAAACTCATTTCAAGACGTTTTCCCATTGAATCCCTGAAGGACGTTTTGACGAGCAAGAGTAATGGTATCAAATTGTCCTTTCTTTTTTGAAATGCCCCCAACAGTTCAGAGAGAGAGAGAGATGCTGTTAATTTAATCAAATAAGTGACCTTTTTATAAAAAGAAATCAAAGAGGATTCATTAGCTTTAGTAAAGTTTGTCTGACAGCAGCTTTGAAAGGCAGATGCTGCTGCTGCTGTGGCTTTTAATGAGCCGACCCTAATTAAGGAGCAACACTGTAGCCTGGAGAAGGTGGCTGATAGGAGAGGAGCCAATGGTAAATAAGCTTATTTACTTCCACCGTGCGTAATGACAGCACACATTTTTAATTAGAAACACAAGATGGGTAAAGACACAAAAAAGCAAATCTTAACATTAGGTCAAACACAAACACAGGAAACAAGAAGAGCAGACTGATGCCTCAGCACATCCCTGACACAGCGGCGGTGCCAGAGAAGGGTGCTCAAACAAACTGTGGTCGAACAAGAGCATGCAGCATGAAGGCACTGAGAGCCTGACCTGCAGGCTGTTAAAGCTGTGAAATGAAAGGGAGGGAGGGGTGGGGAGTGACCCTCCAGTTGTTGATGTGTGCTAACCGTCCGGGTCAAGGCCGCCAGGGTGAGCATGCTTCTCAGCCACACAGTGCACAAACAAACAAACAACAATCATACCACAAATATGTTAGGATCCATGTTTAACAATCTACAAACATGTACAAACGCATGCACCTACACAAACATGTGCACACACACACGGGACAAAGTCCATAGCTAACAATGTGTCCGAGAGATTAACCCCTGTGAGCCCGCTGCCACCCCCGTGCCCGACCTGTGCTCCTGAATGGCATCAACAGAAATGAAACTAACCTCAGTAAAAAGCTGCTACGAAGAAAGCCCTCCATGTCAGCGTGTGGGGTTCTGGCAGGAGAAATCACAGAGATTACTTTTTCACCAAGGAATAAGTTACAGTCAAACGAGAAGAGCAAGAGGAAAAAGGAAAGGGGGGGAAATAGGAAACGGAATAAAAAAAATGATTATACATCTTCCTTCTATACAAGTTCTTATGTCTTTAATTAAAGCAGAAATATGACTTGGAACCCATCCCCTCTTTATGAACTGACACCATTAATTATACCTCTTTCCAACGAGGGATTGGATTTGCATACAACATCGGTTTGCACTGATGATACGTTTGCATCAAATAAACTCTGATCCCCACGCAGCCTTTCTCCGCTGCTGTGCGCAGATATATGCACATAGATCCAGCGCTGTAACCACAGATCCAGTGTGTTCAGCGTAGCCAGCGGTGGTCCAGCTGCAGCCCATGTGTGGCAGGGCTGCTGCGGCTTCGAGGAGCCGGGCCGCTGGGAATCGCAGCGCCAATGAGGCAAAAGGATGTGGTCATGATGTCACCGCTTGTATAGGTCGTTCAGAAGCCTTAGCCACAAAGTACTGGAGACGCATGGCTAAAATTGACTTACAACAGGTTTCCATTATGTTATTGGGCTGTGAAATATATGTTTTTATTGTGTTAGTTTGGCTGGAAATCGATTGGGACGTGCACGTGCTTTGTTTTAAGTGGTAAAAACGAGCAAAAATTTATGGAACAAATTTGTCGGTGGAGATTTTATTACTTTCTGAAAGTCTTCTGGGTTCTTCACCATGAGCGCTGTAGAGATGTTCATCATGAAGGCGTTTCAGAGTTTCAATACTTCCTGTTTCAAAAGATGTAAAATCCACATACGCTGATCTTTGTGAAAACTACCGCTTTTAACATCGCTGCTTGGAAAAATAAAACTTTTCACTGGAGCTGAAGTTTATTCACAATTTTTCTAATTCGCGAAAAACATAAGAACGAATGTCGTTTCAGCTCTTTAGCCTTAAGTTTGAGTGTCATGGTGTAATATGGCATTTTTTCCTCTTTCTCGAATAGCGTATGGAGACAAAGCCTCTGAGAAAATGGAAAGAATGAGCCAGGCCCAAGGACACTGTGCCTTTCAGTCTGGCCAGCACTTAGCAAAGCAGTGGTTCCACAAGGTCCAGAGGGCTCAGCCGAGACTTTTCTCACAATAAGGTGTCTGGGGAGGCGGAGAGTGGCACAGCCAGGGGTACTGCAGCTCTGCTCTGTTTTGCACTCAGTTGGGCCCAGTGCACATAATACCATCACCATGCCACAGCGCACCAAGCCAGTGACAACGTGAGAAAACAACCGTCAAACAGTGCAAAGCAGATCAAGCGTGTCTCCTCACTTCTCCGAGTGCAAAAAGCGCACACAGCAGGCACACACCAACCAAGACAACAATCAACACAAGTACCGGATGAACTCGCATCGTAAAAACAACAGCTGAAATATGAACAGGCATCAACTGTTTGTCTCAAATTTAATGAATGAAATGCACAAGCAAGTGTCTACGTAAACCTAACAGTAAACAGACTGAACAGAAACTGGTTTATTTCTGAACGCATGTATTTCTTTCAGTCACTCTTCATCATTAATGCGGGTTCTAGTTCATAAACCCTCGGCGTTTCACTGTCTGTGTCTTCACAGTTTGGATTCTTGTGTTTCCTCAGCTGTTCCTGCTTTCTCCAGTCCCTTTGAGGTCAGAAAAAACTCAACTGAGACTAAGAAAGCAAAGGTGGAGTTTGGAGGGTTTGGAGTGCCCCAAACTGGTCAGATTCTAACCAACCTGAAGAAAGTGTGCTCTTGTCTTAAGATTAATACAAAGAATGTCTTGTCAATCAAGTCTCGGCTAATTCTAGGGCAGACTTAGTTGAGAGAGAAAAATAGAGAATAGACATCCCAAAGTTGGCCTGAACCAGCGTGAGCTGCTCAGCAGCCTTTCAAGGAATGAGCTTCTGCCAAAAGCTGCCTCTGCTTAACCAAGTCTCCCACCATCTGCAACAAATGTGCTCTATTAAAGCAGTACCATATGGACGACAAGCTAGCTATTAACACGGCTTCAGCACATCCCTTAACCTAGCCCAGATTTCAAACTTCCAGTCAAATTGACTGCTGATTTAATGCACCACCAGCAGCCATGTGGGTCTTGGCACGAGACAGCGCTCTCAGTCTTCAGTCATTAACAAGCTCACATAGAGCGCAGCCCATAGTGAGACACAGAGGTTAGCTACACAGATCGTACCCTGGCTTATTTGGTGCATTCCCCTAAAATAATGAACATAACAAAGGTTATAAGAAACTCAACGTGGACCAAGCTTATAAAGTCTGTCAGTGAAGACTTTCTGGACGCTTTAGTTGTTCCACAGTCATGAAAAGTGACGTTGCTCCCTCTGCCTGGATCTACAGGGTGTGGGGAGATGGGGTGGTGTTGGGGGACAGACTTTAATCCCATGTGGACCTGGCAGCAAAGTGGACACCTCACCCCTGTCTGAGTCACTAACAGCTCACAAAGCCACGCACTTTTCTCAACAACGAGACCGTGATGACGTCACGACTAAAAGCCTCTGCGACCGTGAGACAACATGCACCTAATCAGTTGCAGTTTTGTGGTTTTAACCCGACACTAAAGTTTAGTAATAATGTTTATTCCTTTTCCCTCCTCTTGTCTCAGCTGACTCCACATTGTTCGAGCAATTTTTTTTATCTTGGAATGTTGAACATATTCAGTAATTATAGATCAGTGGTGCACGCTGTGCAAACAGAGCATTATTTTAATCACTGGTGGTAACTAAACGTTTTGTTTGTACTTTACTATTATTTTCAGGCTCCATTTTAAATTTTTAAACAATTATTAATAGTTTGAACCCACAATAGTTATGGGATTATTAAAAAAAAACTTTTTGTTAAAGATTAAACATGAAAAATAAACTGTCAGAAGTGTCTCTAAAAAAAACTAAACAAGACGGTTTGAAACCAGTTTTATTAAATAAGGACGTTCTCGTCAGCACATTATGATGTGTTAAAAAGTGCTGTTGTTTTTTTGTTTTTTTTGGGGGGGGGGGGAACAAAACCTGCATCTCATCTTTACTCTTGGCACCCAGACCCTTCAAAAATGGTGAAACTTAGTCCAGCAAAAATATCTAGACACAGTGACAGAATGTGAACATGACTGGTGCAGGATGCTGGGACCTGAACGCACCTTATGATTCTAGGCTGTGACACTCGCACACGCACAGGCGTCGGTTTTCACACACACACACACACACACACACACACACACACACACACACACACACACACACACACACACACACACACACACACCTATTTCACTCAGAGTTGCCAGATGAGTAGTGAATTAATTTGTGTGAGCCACTCCAACATTAGGAAGGTGTGTTGAAAGGTGTCTGCTCATGTTTCAAATTAAACGCGCTGCTGGTCAGCATTAGCACCTCGCCACCCGTCGGCAACTGACACTTAGGGAGCTTGGGGGGTGTGGGGTGGAGACGATGGGAGGAAGGAGGGAGGGGGGATCCTATCCGCTGTTCACACTGGAATAATTAGAACATGTCAGGAAGAATTAATTTCCTCATTTTTCAAAAGGATACACAGAAATTACCATGTTATTATATGACAGGGTCCCTGGGAGGATTGGATTAAATTTGATTTCTTGTGCAGCCCACGCAACAAATTAAAGTCATAAATAAGATGGAAAGAAGCGGGCACAGAGCATATGTTTATGGCAATGAGTGAAGCCAAGGGAACAGAAACAACCATCTTCATTTCATTTTATTTAAATCAGGCCAACACCGTGTGTCTGAATGACAGCAGCTGCTAATGGGTCGAGATTAGAGGCTTCTTGATATTAACACAGAGGTCTTCTGCATCTTCTACTTAAAAGCAATAACCATGCAGTGTGTAAACTTGCAGGTGAGCTTGTTCTCTACAGGTATTTCTTGACAGCACCAAAAAACTAAAACTGTCAAATTTTAGATGCCAGTCATTTTCTTAAAGTAGCATAAAATATCTGAATGTCATGTGCAACAAAAGATGGCACTAGTTATCCCTAAATTTTAATTTACAGCATGTTTTTTTAAATAGTTGTTTTAATATAGACAACATAATATTTGACAACGTGTCACATTTAATAAAATTTCATCTAATCAATGTTTTGCTACCTTAAGAAGCTGCTGAATTTTGATGCTGTTACTCAAGAGCACAAACCTACTGTCGATGATTTGCATCTGTCCTACAGAAACCTCTCTTGCACTAAAATGTGATGCACTCATATTTCTTAATTGTTTTTCCATTAATATTTATTTTTATTTGACCATTCGTTGGGAATTGTTGCTTTCTCTCTTTTTTTGTAAATGTAGTAAATAGTGTAAAGATCTAAATTTCCGGATTCGTCACATCTGGATTCAGAGAGGAGGGCAGAACTGACCCAACGCCATGCAGGACGCTCACCTGTCACCTCAGTAACACAATGCAGTGCCATCTCGGCGCCAAAGTTTTTCAGCTTGCTGGGAATGGGCTGTCATTAGAGCTCAGTGCTCCCCCGGGCACCACAAACTTTAAATAATTTGCAAATCAATTAACTGGCTACTCTCAACGCAACAGGGATTTCACACTCTGGGGTCGCGGTGCAATATCAGTTGGAGACGATTCATGGCTTTTTGGGCAAGAAGCTCATGGTTGAAATCATTAATTCGTTTTACCAGACTTTTAGTTATGCATTACTTTCTACAGCTGCGGCGCGGGAAGATTAATAACATGTTCTCTGGTCCTGTTTTTGAATGTATTTATTTAGTTTAAGCTCAGCAGATACTCAGGAAAACACCACGAGAAGCAACAGGAAAAAAATTATTGTTTTCACTTTTACACGCAGCAAATAATGACAATCCACTCAGAGGTTAAATCCATTCAACATTTTGTTAAATAAGGATAAAGTTGTGCCTTTTAAGCTGATTAAAAACATAATGCTACAGCGTATAATAAAATAGTTTAAATCCTAATTTTTGGGAACTTTGTAAAAAAGGCGTTCGTAAATAACGCAGAGTTCAGTCAGTTAAATAAATGCAAAATTTAGAAAGATAAATAAAACTGATTTTACTTCGGGTAATATTAGAATCAATTAATATTCTCAAATTAACTCTGAGATCCACTGAAGAGTTTGATCAGATTAAAACCATTGTTAGGCAGCGGTTGCTCTGTTTAGCATGTTGACCACAATCATTGAAGGGTCAATGGACTGAAGAGGCTCGTTTGCTGAATAACAGACAGAGAGCGACCATTCAAAGGTTATTCATTTTCATTTTACGATGAAGTGCTGTTTATTTAATTTCTGATGTGACGCTCCCTGCATCACTTCAGTGGAGACATCGATACTGAGCCGAGAAGCTGCGAGTCTGTGTGGCTGCAGCTTATTAGGTAAATGGCACATTAACAAAGAGTGTATCCATTCAGATGCTTCAACATACTCTCAGGTGTTTCCAGATGGGAGTGAATGAGTGTAATTAAGCGTGCTATATAAGCAACACAAACTCAATTACTTCCTGTCATATTTGGAGATTAATTAAACCTGCAAGACAAGAATATCCAAATTCCTGATTGTCCTTAGATCCAGCTAAATGTGAGTGGGACTCATCCACAGTTGGCCCTTAGGAGCTTCGTGTCAGTAACAAACACCGACAGGTGACGAAAACATTTCAGGAACGGACCACAAGTTATCACAGCCTGGTTTTCCTGCAGTTTTAATACCTTCACTGGCTATTTGCTTTACTTAGTTAATTCTTAGTGTTGAAGAATTGGAGTCAAATCTTGAAAGCAGTTTCTCAATCATTTAAATTTAACACTCGGAGATTATTTTTAAACATTTTTAATTAACCCAGCCACGTCTGTTGTGAACACAGTCCCTCGCATGTTAAATGGGACGGTTTCCCCCTGAATTTGTTTATTTCATTGGAGACTGTTTGTGTTTTCATTGTGTCTCTGTCAATAAATTATAAGGTAACGTAATTCACTGAAGTCTGTAAATGTGAGTTATTGTGTCTGCAGTATCTTGTCAGTTTTGACCCGACTGATAACTCGCTGTTGCAACTCTCCAACACTAACGGCACGAACGCGTCGCTGGCAGGCAGGTGCGTGTTTGACTGAGCAGAAGACATTGTGTGACGTGAGATGGCATGATCAAACAATGGCAAAGGGCCCTGAACTTTGAATTCAGAGAGGCGTTTCACGGCTGTTATTGAAGAGCTTCCCAGTCACATTAATATGATTCCCATGGTATCACCAATGACATTTGGAAGAAAGGAATAATATCAGCTAAGTTCCTCATCTTTATTTGTTTAATATCTTAGATATATTTTCATTAGACATCCTGAACGGGCTGCAGCTGCACAAAGACTGTTAGAGTAATATTTATGCAGAGAGGGTTGTGGTGTACTAAGCTCTGTTTTAAAGTAAAATGCCTCATTTCATAGCCACTGTATTACTATGCTGCTGTGAAAGTTTCAAGAAAGCCTCTTATTATTTTAAATTATTTATCAGCTGCTGCATATTTGTGCAGCCCAGAGCTGCAGGATAAACTTCATGCTGCAGCTGATCAGCTGTTCTCGTGCAGATTGGAGAAGTGGGCGTGGCCAGGAGCGTTTGCAGGTGGCTGAGAGCAACCGAGGCAGGAAGCTGAGATCACGACATTCTGTGTCTTTTAGAGCGTTTAGAAACATTGTTGAGAATATTACAAGAGTGTGGGAAGGGTTTTAAACATATATATATATATATATATATATATATATATATATATAACATATAACTTACGACTTGTACCACTATTCCTACTTCGCGGTTTTTCACTTATCGTGGGGCTTCAGGGTACGGACGCCCCGCAATAAACAAGGAACTACTGTTTGGACTAATAAAGATGATTATCTACGGTACGTCCAGAATTAATATGCATTGTTTGCATAAACAATGTATTTTCTCATGTTTATTTTTCAGATTCAACAGATAATTCAACAGAATTGTGGAGAGCAAGTTGCTTCGTTCCTTGTTTACAAGGAGTCATTCTATTGTGTGCAAAGAGCATTTTTATTCTTCTAACTTTTTTTATTTATTTGTAATTTCAGTTATAACAAAATACAACATTTAATAAATAAAAAATGGCTTGTAAAGAACTGTAGGCCACACACAAATACTTGATCACCCTGCAAACAAGAAATAATGTGTAAAATGTGAATGCAATAATAATGCAAAATCGCAAGAACAGGAAACGATCCATAATATGAAAAATCATCTGCAGCAAAGATAAGTTTGAGTGTAATATTGTGAAAGGTCTGTCAGTAACTTTGTGTCTAAGACTGTTTAATTGTGCATGCATTGTAAGCCCATCCAATTGTCCAGCTCATTTGATGCAGGTGTTCAGTGTGGGTGAAAGTCAGCAGGGTGCAGGAGTTGTGTGCAAGGCAGAGACAGCTACAGAGGTAATACTTACAAAAACTGCAAGACTCGGTCCCCAGCTTCCAGTGATCACTGGCTGGCTGATTTTGAACTCATGTAAATAACCTGGAACATAAGCAAAAAGATGGAGAAAGACTTTTTAGATTCGTCACCTGATTAATGCAAATTCAACATGTTCCTAAACTTGGTTTTCCGATGATTTAAAAACCAGTGAACTGTATCTAACAAGCAGAGATCAGTGATATGAACTGTCGGCTGACGGTCAGTCGCAGCTGAGAGGAAAGACGTTTGGTACTGCCCGACTTTCAGCTCTTATCGCTGCCACGAGCGTGAATTGGTTTTAAAGTGTTGAAAATCTTCTTTTCTTCTGTCTCATTAATATGTCTTCCCATCGACAGCTTTAACTAATAAACAGCTTTTATATAAAGCAGTTGTTTTATTTAATTTTGCCGTCTTTCATCAGGCCCTGCCTTCTTATGATTTATTTAGAGGCCATGCGCTGCTAGTTTCAGCTTGTCTATTGAAGTGACTGCGTCAAAGAGCGCACGCCCAGGAAGCTGCACGGAGGGTGCACGTTGCATCCTCAGAGCCACTGGCACTTTTCAGGGCTCTGAGGCTGCATCAGTACAAATATCTAGAAATGATTACTGGTCATCATTTGTTGATCTTTCACCACAGTCATCAATTCATTAAAAAGAGGATCTTAAATATCATCTACAAAGAAAGATTTTTAGGTACTTGTTTGACTATAACGCTGCTCTGTGTGTGTGTGTGTGTGGGGGGGGGGGGGGGGGG